AGGGGTGAGTAAAAACAGATTCTTGTCATTTACAAATAAATATTCTTACGTACAGAATGAAGTGAAAAAGGTTATACCTGGGCTTTTATCATGCTGCAATACTCGCAGTTAGCATGGGAAGAGGGGATTTCTATTTTATTATTTCCTTACCAGAATCCTGAAGCCAGATTAGGCAAGGAAGGGTGAGGCAGGCTGGGATAATTGACAAGCAGTGATTAAGAGTTTGCTCCTTTTCACAGCTTTGGGGGGCATAGTTCTACTGTGCACTCAGTGCTTTCAGGCACCTTAGCTGTATGCTGCAGGAAACCATTTCAGCTTGAGCTGCTTGTGTAGCAGTGTGACAGGGACAGCTGGACTAACTGCTCAGGTCTGCAGAGCTGTGTTCCATCCCCATCCTTTTCCTGGTCGGAAACATGACACTCCTTTTGCCATATTCTCTCTCCTCATTTCTGACTCATTCCCTGTTTCTTTTTATATACAGAAAGGAATTATTCCAGTGCAGGAGAGGTCAGGCCCGCTTCTGCAACTTCACGCTGCTCGCACAAAGGCAATATCTAGATACCTCTCATTCACACAGCACTATGCACACTTGGGGGACCAAAGCATCTGGCTCATAGCGGACTGTTTTCATACAGTATTCAGCTCCCCTGTACCTCATCTCTTCCTGGTGGCACTGGGAGTGGGGAGGCTTCACTTGGAGAGGGAACACAGCAGCTGGATTGGCATCTGTCATGTGGCAACAAAAATAGCAAAGCAGCATTATGATTTCAGCCACAAAATCATTATATAATCCTGAGTTATAAAAGATTCAAGGTTTTTCCCTCATGTTCATGGAAGTGACCTTTAGTGACTGTTTTCTGGACAAATAAACACCAAACTTTCAGAAAAGGAAAGTCCAATTACGTATTGAATGTTCTCAGCTCTGACTTAGAGCTGGGAATCTATCTAACAACTGGCTTAATCATGAACCACCGTAGTCAGAAGGTGTTTTACAAACTGGTTAGCCTGTGGAGTATTTGTTAGGGATTTAACCAGAAAAAGGATGGAAATTCACCTGGAACACAAGCAGCCTTTGTTCAGCAAACTGCTGACATGTTCCTTCAGGCAAATCTTTCCATCAACTGGATTAACTAAGCAAATAATTATGCAGAGTGCTTACTCCTGGGTTTGCAAATCTGAATTAAATTTATTTCCTTTACAGGTGCACTGTATATGAGTATGTTAAGGCAAGATCAAAGTCTCAGTCTCCAGGACTGTTTTGATTCAGTAAATTCAGTTGATGCTTTTGAAACAGAGGGGAGTGCTGGTTCTGAGTTATCAGCAGGGCTACTGGTGGTCATCACCAGGTGGTTAAGAAACACTTTCAATACCACTGAAGTCCTGTTCATATATTCATGCCCTTTAGGCAAGGAAACAAAATTGAAATCAAGGACTCATGTATTTTAATTCCAGACTCCTAAGGAGGATGCTGGCAAGCTAGATGGCACTTGGCGATACCAAATAACTCATGAATACACACCAGCTGTCCCATAACTGTAAGGCTATGGCCTATTGAAAATATTGCTTTGGAGAGATCTGTAATGGTATAAGCTATAAACTACGATTTAGAAATTCTTTAATAAACAGTTAATCAATTCAGCCACACTGAACTCTTTGTGCCAGTGTCCAGTAGTGAGCTAGATCCTGTACAGTCAGAGAAAAATGAAAACACTTACTGGGAAAAATAATGCAATTCTCTCTGTATGCCTTTTGGAAGCTTGCAAGGGAATGCCAGCACCAGCAGAGCTGCCTCCCTGTCCTGGGTTCAGCAGTAGCAGTCATTTTTCTGCTTCTTGGTAGCTGGTGCAGTGCTGTGTTTTGACTTTCAGCTCGGGAACAGAGCTGATAACAGTAATGTTTTGGTTTGGTCAAGGACTTTGTGAGCCTCATGCTCTGCCAGGGAGGAGGGGAAGCCGGGAGGAAGCAGAGACAGGACACCTGACCCAAACTGACCAAAGAAGGATTCCATATCACAGCACGCCATGCCCAGGATGTAACCGGGAGTTAGCTGGAAGGGCTGGGACTGCGGGGTTGGAGGAGGTATCAGGCAGTGCTTGGTCAGGCTGGGGGGGCGAGTTATCGGTTGGCTGGTGCTGAGGTGTTGTATTCTCTTCCCTTGTTATTTCCTTTATCATTGTTATTATTGGTGGTAGCAGTAGTGATTTGTGTTATACCTTAGTTACTAAACTGTTCTTATCTCAACCTGTGGGAGTTGCATTCTTTTTGATTCTCCTCTCCATCCCTCTGGGAGTAGGGGGAGGGAAAGAAGGGGGGGAGTGAGTGAATGAGTTGCCTGACTGGGTTTAAACCACGACACTCCCCTACTCTGAAATATCTTAGTGTGTTGTTAGCTATATCTTAAGGCATCAGCTTTTTCAGTGATGTAGCAACTCTATGCTTTTTCTGAAAGTGTCCCACACGCTTGGTTTGTTTTTTTTCCACACAGTTTCACAGACTGATTAATTCAGTCCTACCTCCTTTGCCATTAGGAAATGAATATATTTCCAGTGTTACAGGGGCAGACATTGGCTGAAGGGATGGCGCTTCTCAAGGTTGCAGAGGAAATCAGTAGTAGAGCCTGAATGAACCCTTAGTTCTCTGGATGTCTGATGTTGTATTTCAGTCAAGAATCCAGAACAGCATCTCAGAATACAAGGGGCAAAGGGCCACCTTCCCAGTAGCTGCTCTCACAAGTACATGTTCCTGCACTGAACTCCTCTGGAGTCTGAAACAAAGTGAAGAGCCCGAGTCTCTCCAATGCGTTCTTTGAGAATTGCAAGCCAGAAGCCCATTCTTCATCACAGGGCTCTTTTCTGGCAGCTGGCTAATACCAGCACAAAACTACAGAAACCCATCCATTGTCTGCTGGTAGGAGAAACTGTCAATATTTTATGGGCTGGATTTTGTAGCTGATCTGTGGCTTTCTAGACTCATTCTTGGTTTTTGCTAGAAAGGGAGTAAGGCATAATAAGTTACAGATGGGACATGCTTCTTTTCCTACTTAAAAAAAAAAAAAAAGTAGAAAAGCGACCTTGAGAAGATTTGTTGTTGTTACACTGTATTATTGACATAATGAGGCAGTGAAAAGCAGCAAAACCAAAGAGCGAAACAGAAGTGTGCCCTAATCAGCTTGCATTGGCTGTCTTGGTAAATCTCATGAGTTAGGGATTACTCTGGGACCTCCTTACTCCACATCATGCAGGTAATTCTGTGACCAATACAGACCTCCCTGCAGTTGCTTTTGGACTTTGGCAACGCCCAGTTGTTGTTCACAGGCCTGAGTGATGCTCTGACTTGTCCGGGCCTATGCCTTGTTCTGCAACATGTAAGCTGTGTGTGTATTGTGCAGCTCAGTGCCCCAGCTTACTTCCCCTGAATTCCCTGCCTCATTGCCTTTGGTGGCTCAGAGTGGCAGAGCTGAAGGCAAGGAGACTGTCTAAGGAAGGAACTGGTCATGTCTGCCTTTCCTGTTGAGCTTTTTCCCTTTTACAGTTATAGTACATCTATTAACATACTAGAGAAAGCTGGGGAGTCATTTGCTCTTGCAGAGCAGTTGCACACACTGTAATTTAGATGTTTCCCAACACCCCTGTCAGGCAGGCAGAATGATTGTGAAAACATGCCTATGTCTTACAGGGGGGATTTTCCTGTTCGAGCATCAAAAGTCAAAGTCCCCATTGAGGTGGACAGGGAATGGAGGTACCAAATTTTTCAGAAACCATTTTGAAAGTTGTGAGCAAAACAGGAAATCAAATAATAAAATAATGAGCATGTACTAAAGCAGTAAAGTCCTTCATCCAGGTGAGAGGAGTTAATACTTAAACAGGTGGTGTGAACTTGAGAAGGGACTCCTCAAAGGTTCTGTGTGGGGGTTGAAGAGGTTTGTGAATCTGGAGACATCTCCTGTGCGTGAGCAGAATAGATTGTGGACCATTGTCTCCCCTTGGGACTTGAGGGGCTTTAGAGAGCTCTTTAGAAAGGAAGTGGGCTGTGATGAAAGTAGAGCTTGGTGACATGAATCAGGCCAGTGGTTTGCAGAAAGCTGCTAGTGCTGACTTTTGCAGTGCTCAGTTTGGATGTAGACACACAGCTCCCCAAAGAGGATGTGGAAAGAGATGGGTAGCAAGCAGGACTGATCCATCAAGGAGGGAAATGATCTTATCCTCTATCTTGGTCCACAGACACTTCACTACATTTCTGCAGTCTATTGTACTCCATGTACCCTGCCTTTCATGAACCCCCACCTCCTTCTCAGTTGTGTGAAAGGATCACACAAACAGGCGAGGTTTGTGTGATGCTTTTGCGGTTGGTGGGAAAATGACAAATGAGCTGGGTTCCACATCCAGGAGAGAGGAAGTCCACCATCCTGTATTTCTATGTCATATATTATTGGTTTTGTTTTCTACTGAATGTTAGCTGCAGCTGCCTTTTACCAGATGTCTCGTAAATGCCCACACTGTTCAGTTTATTTGGCCAAGCTTATCTTTGACCCTGGCAACATCTAAATTCTAGTGTCATGGAAGCCAGCAGTTCAAAGGTAAGTTACTTGCTATTTTTATCTGTATCTCTGTGAAAAAAACCCTGATACTATAGGGCTGTGGGGAGAAAGAAAATGATAACATAATGGAAACTAGACAGAAATCCCACCTTCTCTCCCAGTACATCCTGGCAACCTGTTGGGATTGTAGCTCTTCCAGCTCTGGCTGTCTGTAGAAGGGACCCTCACAATGAGAAGTTAATTCTGACTGTTAGGTTCCTTGTCCTGTGTCCTGAGATCTACCTAAAGAATAGGCCTTAGAATCCACTTCATCTCTGCAGTGTAAAGTATTGCAGCTCTGTGTGGGAATACCTGTTTCTTTCCTTTGGTTATTGGAGGCTTATTGGCTGTTCAGTTAAGAAAAGCTCAAACAAGCAGATGAGTTAAGGTAGGTGTGGTTGTCCCAGCTAACACAGTTTTTTTCTGATCAGAAAAGACTATTGAGGACTAACCCTTTAGCGTGTGAGACAGTAGAAGCTGTCTGGCTTGACTTGTGAGTTTGACAGAGGAGTAAGTTAGTTTACCTGAGGACATTATGAAACATGATGAGACTTGCAGCAGCGAAATATAAGGTAAGTCAGTTGGTGCCTCCTTGGGAAAAAGAACTAATTGGTGGTGTGGTGCAGAGATAACAGAACCCACTGAGAAGAGGCAGGCAGGCAGGCAGACAGACAGACAGACTCTCCCACTGTCTTTTTGCAAGATGTTAAGGCAGTCAGACTCGCCCACAGTTGTAGACTTGTGACTGGACCTAATCAGTATCCATAGGGTGCTGGGGAGGTGAGGAGCAATGATAAGATACAAGAATTAATAGAACAAGGAATACAGATAGTTGAAAGCCGAGGGTTTCGAGGGATGTCAGAGTACTTAGGATTTTCCATTTTGAACCTGGGATAAACAACACACATCATAATAGCTAACAGCATAAATGCTGTTCTCATTTTGGACTGTATACTAATTTAACTAGCTAGCCCATAGCAACAATGCTGTAATACACATGGGCCCAGATGTTTTGTGATAATAAAACTGTAGCTTGCTAAAGCTTAAGGAGGAAAGATGCTGGGTCTTCTCCAGGGAGAGAATGATTGTGTCCTGGAAAAGATGTGGCTTGATGCAGCTGGAGAGAATTAGCCAGCTAGAGTATTCACTACACAAAATAACCCAGTCTCAGCATGAAAAAGCAATCTCCAAAGCCAGTTTCTGTATTAAGCTTCTGTTTGTCATGGGTGCAAGGGATGCATTCTGATTTTTAACCAGCCTCAGCTCTGGCCTCCAATTATGGATGTAGAGGAACTGTGTTTTGGAGCTCAACACTAACCACAGGTAACTCTCTTTCACTGAATAATTCAAGAATTTAACCAGTTTAGCTACCTCTGAAAGTCTTGCTGTGTTTATATACCTCTTGCAACTGGCCTTTAATGTCTCTTCAAATTGATTCTCAGCTACTGAGTTAGGCTACTGGTGCTTTCTTTCAGCCACTATTTTCTTTACTTTTCCTTTTTATTTAGAACTTGAACACTCTGGGTTTATGTGCTCTTGGCTAGGCTACAGGATTTCAGCTTCTCATTAGCAGTTGCAAAGCTTAAGGGAAGAAACAGAAATATGCAGCAATACAAGTATGGGTATGATACCATCATTAGTGAAGGCTCACATGGCAAGGCTTGCTCTTTCAGTGACCCCAGAAAAGGTATTACCATCACAGCTTGCTGGTGGAACTGTCAGCAAAAGAGAATAAGAATTAATTTGTGCCTGATATTTGTAGTGCCGGGTCACTGAGATTCATGAACAAGTCACACAGAAAGCAGCTTCCATAGTAGAAGATAAAGCATGCTAATTTCCTAACTCTGAAAAGCCATGGGTTTTATTATCTTTTGGCTCAGACCTGTACTAGGGGAGATACCTTGAAATAGAAGTAAAAAATCAGCTAAGGATCTGAGTATCATGTGACATCTCTTTTCAGCAGCTGCCAGAGGGTGGGGAGGCTCCCATATTAGCAATCACATGAAAATTACAATATTCAATGGCAGCACCCACAGAATGTCCATCTCCCTGTAGAAACTGGTTTTGCCGCTACAAGCACGTTCATGTTGAGATCATCATCTACTCAACAGTTCTTGATTCCTTGCACTTCAGAGGATGTGCCTTATCTGTTTTGAAGGTGGATGGCAGAGAATATGAACACTGACTTTATGTACAAGTAATTTAAAATAATATAGCACGTTTATTTTAAACTGTAACGCCAATAGGTTTTATGTGCACTATGTTACACCAGAGTTACTCTATCCACCCCTTCTGGAGTTAGGAGAAGCAATATTATAGAAGATAAAATTAAATTCTTCTTGTGACAGAAATACGTATTTTAGAACAGCTGTTATTCAGGACTAGCCATAGCTTTCAGACCTCTCCAGATCTAGTTATTTCAATGAGAACAACAGTCCCCATGTCTTCTTTCTGGGTACAACCATGTTTTAAAGGTGTTTTCACCCTATGGTTCCAGCCATCATTGTTCTTCCACCTTCATTCTGCCTGACCACTTCCAAGCAACTTGTTTGGAAGGGAGCTATGATTTTTTTGATGGCACAGTGACCCAGATAAACTTACTTACTACTTATGCATTTGGAGGGCAGCAGTCACAGAAGAAGGACAAAATAGTAAAAGGCCAGCAAGCAAATTATTCTATTAAGTATTTAGCATCTTCCTTCACACTGAAGCAGGCCCCACTTATTCAAATGTCACCATTCACGGAGAAGCAAAATTTCAGCTCTTGCCTCTCCAGATCTACAGATCTTCAAAAAATTCCATTCAGAACTGCATATCCTGGAGCACTGTTCCCCTGGACACCTGTGGTGCTTGATCAGAAGCATTTGACACCTGTTCTGCAGTCAGTTTTCTGAGATCTGTGACTTTTTCATCTAGGTATATGAAGGTACAATTATTAGATTTAACTCTTAGCACTTTGCAAGCAAAGCAGTAGCCATCAAATAGACAAGAAAGCCAGAAAACAATCACTGACAGCACCCAGATGCTTCACAGGGAAGCTGTAGCTAAGTTTATTATTACCTCTTGCATTACCTTTAAGATTTTGCCTGGAGGGCTGTGCTGAAATCAGGCTTCCAACCTGCAAGGGAATTTACAACTACTTGCTAAGTCACCCTCCCTGCCCTGAAGCCTTTTTATTCTAAAAAGGGACTCTTTTCATTTTATAGAAGGAAAGATGATGCATAAACCAAATCCAGAGTTAGATTTTGCAGCAGAGTGACACTGACATGCCTGATGTCTTGCAGAGCATCCATGAGACAATCAGAAATGTTTTTTGGGAACGCTGTGAGTTTGAGCCCTGTACCTTTCTTACCCAGCCTCCTTTACAGACCAGGAAGGCATGGAGTAGTGAGTGACTGACATTATTAAGTCATCCTTGTCAGTGAGGGCACTTATGAAAAACACATCTGGTTTTGAAAAACACAAAATTGCAGATACAATGGATATGCAAAATTCCTCTCCCCCCAGAAAAAAAGTTTTAGAAGTTGGTATCTCATTTCAGTTCCCATAAGAACGAATAATCTACCAAACACCAGGTTTTCAATGGAGATTAGAGTGAGGTTTGCTCTATGTTTTCTTTTTTTAAAAAAAAAAAAATCTTGAGGAGAAAAACTCTCATGGTCTCAGTTTATTTCATCGGTGTGAGAAAGGGCAGGATGTTTTGCTGGTTAATTCATCATGTGTGAAAAATAAAATGTTGCCAAAACCTACATTGAACATACTTCCTTAAGAAAAGTAGGTTACATTACATTAAGCCTGAAGGGGTTTAGTCACTGTAGAAAAGTCAGTCTATAGCTTCTGCTCTAACAGCAGGCTGTAATGCCCATACTTGCCCAGAATATCATTTCTCTGTTATACTGTCTTGCTGGTCCCTGATTACAAAATGTTTCATTTTTTTCTTTTTTTTTTTTTTTCTTCTTTCTTTTTCTTTCTATATGTGAAATTTTTGGAAAACTCATCTAAAATTCTTTAGACAGTATTTCATCTTTCTATCTACATATATCAAAACTTCAGCCAGAATTCCTTAAATCTGTACTTGAAAGGAGCAGATAGTGATGAACTGGAAAAATGCAGAGGATTGATAACATCTTAAATAGTTTGTATATTTTTATGTTGCTGGGACATGAAACATGAATGGCACTTATAACAAAATATTAGGCATGTGAAGGTGACCTGTGTTTGTCACTCAAGTTGTTTAAAATCTTTATCAGCTCTCTTGATGCTTGTTTTACAGATGTAACCTCCCATTTTCCAGACAATGCATACGGTGCACTCGGCAAGTGTACTTACTATTTAGAACAGAAGAACAGTGCTTGCATCTGCAGACATTTGTATGAGTCATCCTCATGATGTTAATGCAGGTTTTCATGAAGCACCTGTATGAGAAAAAGCTGGTAGAATCAGCCTTCAATTCCTGAATGTATTTTAAAGTTTCTTTAAGGTTTTTCAGGCTGAAGAAAGGCTCTAGAAAGACAGAAATACAAATAAGACATCAACAGTGAAATGTGGCCGTTGCAAGTTTTATTATTTGAGTGCTGACAGGTCATTTCCCCTTTGCCTCTTGCATAGTGTAATATTATCACCAGTCAGCACCAACCATTTGGCTTGTCAGCAGAAGGGCAGGGAAATCACACACCAGGCAGGGAAAGCTTCTTTGTTTCTTTCCCAGGGAAATCCATGACAGAAAACAAAGGAAGAAATTATAAATGATGATCAAATAAGATAGAATCATCCCCTCAGGAATTTCATTCTCTTTTCACTGGGTGAGGAGAACAAAAGGCTCAATGTTTATCTGCTCTGCTCTTGAGAGAGCCAAGTCAGTTCTCTAACAGAGCACTGGGGCTTTAATGGTGACTAAAAGCAAATGCTCCAAGAGAAGTGGAGCAGGTTGGGATGGACTACACCTCCAGCAGCTATGAAACACTAATAAAGAATCCACTTTTGTAGGTAGAAGTTTGGCTAGAACTTAGGCTTTTTTTCTTGGTGCGTGTGTCAGTCTGACCTAGGCAACAAGGTGCATCACTTCAAATGCACAAATATGCCACAGGACCTCAACAAAGCCCTTAATTATCCAATGGTTAGGGAATTACTGCATTGCTGGGAGCATGAAGTGCTCAGTAATATCCCACAGCTGTCTGAAAAAACCTTTGTGCTGCTGCCAAATAGTTTGTGGGGACATTAAAACTAGCAGTGAATTCTCAGCAAAAAAAATTAGACTGAGCTTTACTTACAAAGACCAGCAGTGTTTCTGGGCTCTAAATCGGGGCAGTCCTGCCCTGATGCCCGTGCTAGTAAGAGAGAAAGTCTCTTAAATCTTTAGTCCGTTCCAGCTTTTGAGGGGATACAAATAGCTCTTTGATCCCTGCTTTATGCTGGTGCGTCTTGGCAATTAACTCGCCTCCTTTTCAAATACCGTTATTTAGCATGCTTGAGACCTTATGTAGACAGCCATCAACAGATGGAGTGTGGACTCCAGGGAAGTGGTAAGTTATCAGATGCAAGGGATATATCTTCACTGGATGTGATATTAAAATATTGTTCAAAGCATGAAGTGGAGACAGAAACTTGTGACATGCAGACAACTTTTTTAACCGTCAAGAGTTTGATTATTTGATACATTTTTTAATGGCAAGAAGCCTGGCCAGTGTAGAATGGGAAGATCCACAAGGATAGAATGAAAGATTCACTTTTGGAGATAGAGTTGAAGAGTCTTCTTAGTTAACCTGAAAGAGTAACATCAAGCAAAGTAGGAAAATGTTATCATCCAGATCCAAATTGTTTGCCACCATCTTGTTTTGTTGCTTTAGGCAAGTCAGAATTTTTCAGTTTTTCACTGTACCTATTTAGGGGACTATAATGCTTGCTTACAGCCTAGACTTGCTGTGCAGTTTGGCTAACAGCTTTGTGAAGAGCATGCTGCTGTCCAAGAGAGATGTTTTAGATGTGCAAAGCCAAAGGTGTGTTAAGCAGAGGAGAGTCTGACCATCCATGCCACAAAGCCTTGGTTTTGTTCCCTTTGTAAATCTTTCTGACAAACGCATGTGCAGATCTTCGGACTCAGCCATTCTCTAAAATCATTAAGAACTAAATTTAGCAATTTAGAGGCTAAATCTTGTGATGAAATCACCTGACAGCTGTGTCAATAGCACTGTCAGTCACCAAGTATCAGCCCTGGGAAAGTCAGGCAGTGTTTCCTCAGGGTTCATGCTGTACAGGATTAAAACCCAGAGCTCTTCAGGGCAGAACTGTTGTAGCAGAGCAGCTCTGATTATATGCCACTATCCCGTTTTGGCTCTGTACTGTCTTTTCAGGCCTGCCACTCCTTGCTGACACATTACCAGGTCACCTCCGCTTCCGTGCTTTCGCTTGCTTATTCCCAGGCAGGCCAGCCGCCAGGTCCTTTTGGACAAGTGGCATTCAGAGAGCCTACGGAGCTGTCCTCTGCAAACCGGAACTATTCTTCAGGCTAGATAGGAATCTATAAAACTGCCGGACATTTTAAACTGCTTTGAAGGGCTATCAGTACTACACATATTCATATCCTTTTGTGAGTCAGAATGAATTTTCTTGGCAACAAACATCATTCAGGAGGTGAATTTGCCAAACCCTACATTATTCAGTGTCCTTCCATTGCTGGGCCATTTTAACCTCTGCGGCTATGAGGCTCTTGAATGAAGTGTTTGTGTCAGGCAGCCTTCTTATTAAATATAGGAAGATTAAACAGGAAAACTCATGCCAGTTTTCAGTGTATTTCCCCACTCATTTCTCTGGCGCTGCTCACAGAAGTCTGGTAAAGTGGTCTTACCTTGCCTGCGTAGGTTTCTGTGGTCTATGGGATGAGTACAGCTGGGAGAAAAGCATCAAAATGCAAGTGCATCTTTGGAAACTCTCTCCAGACTTTTCAAATGGCCTGAGTTCAGTTTGTTTCCTATCAAGTTTTCACATGAGTTCCATAGGCAACAGTAGGAGTTGATCTCACCCTATAATGTGACTTAGCAGCTGCAGCTAAAGACTTGCCCTGAGAATGAATAGCACGGTGAGTGCGTGGTTTTAGGAAGAAATGGTTCCATGTTTCCTTTCACACTGCTTTCCAACAGGATGATCTTACTTTCCTTCATTGTATTTATTGCTGAATAAAGGCTTCCTTTATAGGATGGCTAATCTCCTTCCTTCCTTAGGTAGTGTTCAATCTTCAAGGAGCTACTTTGTTGCAGATGGGAAGACAGAGGTGTATTACAAGTACATTCTTCTGTTTGAGACTTCATGAATATAGAGTAGCAGTATATCATAATATGCTGAATACCTAGTAATGCGCCAACTATATTTGGAGCTCTCAATCCGCTCTGTGGATGGAAAACAACTAGAAGACCAGGTCAACTACCACCTTCTACTCTGCTGGGAAGAATATCAGTAGTGCAGACAATTTAATACAAATCTATTCCTGGAAACTGATAATAGAATTGTAAGGACATGGGACTTTGACACTTCAATGCTCTTCGTGCTTTAATGTGTCTGAAGTTGAAATTTCAGCAGGAAGGATATCCCTAATGAGAAAAGCAAGGAATGATTCCTCTTATTTTGCAGACCCTGAGAAACTCTGGCTGCAGGCTAGCACCTTTATGCACTCTCAGTGCACAGGTGAACTATGCACTGTCAGTGTAAAGGTGAACGTGTCTAACAGTTCTGATTCACAAGCTATATGATATTGCATTCCTGACAATGGCTTAGTAAATGACTGTAAAGAAACCACAATCTCTGTGTTCGACTGATCAGCTACTTGCAACTTTATTTACCTAATTAATTTACCCTTACACTCATTCTCAGGCCTTGCATTTGCGGTAAGGGTTAGCATGAGCCTATAGAACTTAGGAAAGGTTATGGGCTGCTGAAAAAACAGTTACATTCAGAAACAACTGTGATGTGATTAAGTAATTTTTCATACCATATCAGCCTTTGAGAAGGAATGCCTACCTATTTGATGAACTATCTTTGGATCATACTCTTAAAATAAATGAGTCATTGACATTCTTTAATGAGTAAGGAATTGCCAGGTATTTTTCAGTTCTCTTTTTCTTTCCTAAGGCAGAAAGTGCCTTAGGCCATGTGTATGCAAAGAACATCTTCACTGTGTTCAGTCATTTTACATTTGTGATGCTCTCCTTTACCATGGGATGTCTGTATTGGAAAAGATCGGTAAGCAGAAAGGCACAGTTAGTTTAGCGGAACGGAATGGGATATTATATTTCACTTGGAAGGGACCTACAACAATCATCTAGTCCAACTGCCTGACCAATTCAAGGCTATGCTGAACTCAGTTACAGAAGCTGCTGCAGGTTCAAGTGTAAATGGATTCAGTCACTTTAAATCTGGTTTATATAAAGTTAGCTTATACCTGTAAGCGACAATTTAACTTACAGTTCGACAAAACATGGGGAC